CCTGCCTGGGATCCTTTCTCCTCCCCCCTCTTTCTACCCCTCCCCCCCTTGCACTCTCTCTCTCTCAAAATAAGTTTAAAAAAAGTAAAAAAAGTAAAAAAAATAAATAAATAAATAACGGTGAGGGTGTCGAGCATTGGGGTGACAGATGAGGCATGGGGACTGGAAGGATGTGTGCACTCTGCTACACGTGAGGCCAGCCCCAGCGCTGGGGGTGAAATGGCAAGTGGCATTAATGCTACTTCCTGATTTGTGCCCTAAGTTTGGCCAACGGGGACTGAACGCCCTAGAATCAAATCCCAGACCCTACCTCTCAGCTCTGGTGAGGTGTACAGAAGGCAGAGCAGGGGCGGGGTGAGGAGACCTGGGTGCTGGGGCTCAGGGCAGGACGAGGTGGTATTCTGGCCACTGACCTGGTCTAGCAGATGGAGGCGTGCCACATAGGCCTTCTCTGTCTCCAGTAGTTCCTGGACGATTCTCTTTTCCTCTGGCATCTGTGGGGGAGGGGGGGCCGGGGGGGGGGGCGGTTGAACAGGAGGAGAAGGAGAGACACAGTTTTTGGTCTCCTCTGTTGGGGACCCCAATGTAGTCTCCAAAGATGCCCCAGTGAGCGCCCACCTCCCGACACTCATGGCCTCCCACAATGCATCTGGGCCGGCGCTGGGGTCGCTTTAACAAAGGATGGGGCAGGAGTGAGGTTGGGTCTAAGGCTTAAGAGGCCTGGAAGCTTCTTGGGAGCCATGAACCACCACTTCTGGAGGTCTGGCTGATAGAGAGGCCACGTTGAGGCCCAGAGACTACATAGAGAGAGCCAAAGGCCCAGCAATGCCAGCACCGCAGCTGAATCCAGCCTTCCACTGTCCCTGCCCAGGCACCAGGCTTGAGAGTTGAGCTATCTTGGGCATTCCAGCCCCGGCCACCATCAGACCGCAGCCACGTGAGAGACCCTCTTATGGACTGAATTGTGCTCCCCTCCCTAAATCCATATGTTGAAGCCATAACTGCTAATATGACTGTATTTGGAGATAAGGCCTTTGAGGAGATAATCATGGTTAAATAAAGTCATAAGGGTGAGGTCCTAATCCAATTGGATTAGGTGTCCTTATAAGAGGAGGGACAGACACTAGGAGACTATGTGCATGAGGACACAGTGAGAAGATGGCCGTCTATAAGCCAAGGCGAGAGGCTTTGCCAGAAACCAACCCTGTCAGCACCTTGGTTTGGGACTTCCGGTCTCCAGAATCGCAAGGAAATATATTTCTGTTAAGTCACCCAGTCTGTGGTATTTTGTCGGCCCAACCTGACTAAGACAAACCCCAAGTGAGACCAATAGAAAAACCATCCATATGTTCTGGTCAATCCACAAAACTGTGAGAAATAATAAATCGTATTCGGCCACCACATTTTGGGGTGCTTGTTACGCAGCAACTGGTAACCGCAACATACTACTGTGATCGCCATTCCCATTTTATAAATGAGGAAACAGGCACAAAGAAGCTACAGTGCTTTGCCCAAGGTCACACAGGAAGCAGAAGAGCTGGGGTGTGATCACTGGCAGTCTGGCTCCCGGGGGACACAGTACCACGCAGCCTAGCCCTTGAACTCCACAGACAAGGAAGCTGAAATGCAGAAAAGGGAGGTGACCTGTCCAGGATCAGTCTAAGGGTAGGATCAGCACTAATCTCTATCTCTAGTTGGGGATTATTGCCTCTTGTGGTGGGTAAACTGAGGCCACTCCAGGGAAGGATGCCAGGTTCACACAAGCTGTGTGGCCTTGGACAAGTTTTTAAGCTGTCTGAGTTTTATGGGGCTATTTGTTTTTTTCTTTTAGGGACAGAGAGTTGGGAGGGGGGTAGAGAGAGAGAGAATCTTAAGCAGGCTCTACTATGCTCAGCTTGGAGCCCAATGCAGGGCTCGATCCCACGACGCTGGGACATGACCTGAGCCAAAGTCAAGAATTGGATGCTCATCTGACTGAGCCACCCAGGCACCCCTAAGCCATCTGAGTTTCAATGTCTTTGCCTAAAAAACTCCTACAGTGAAGGGAATGTGAAACAATGGAACAATGGGGTGAACTGTAGGCATGTAATCAAAGGCTGTTAAGGGAGTAGAATCCAGCTTTCAACTGATTTCTGGTGACATAAGACCCTGCTTGGAGGGGTGCCTGGGTGGCGCAGTCGGTTAAGCGTCCGACTTCAGCCAGGTCACGATCTCGCGGTCCGTGGGTTCGAGCCCCGCGTCAGGCTCTGGGCTGATGGCTCAGAGCCTGGAGCCTGTTTCCGATTCTGTGTCTCCCTCTCTCTCTGCCCCTCCCCCGTTCATGCTCTGTCTCTCTCTGTCCCAAAAATAAATAAACGTTGAAAAAAAAAATTTAAAAAAAAAAAAAAAAAAAAGACCCTGCTTGGAGAAGTGCTGGTTTGGGCTGGGAGAGAATTTGCAGGGAAGTCCGTGGAGGGGTCCCCCAGCTCCCCACATCCGCTCCAGACCTCAGGCACCTGCGTCCCTGGCCCAGGGTGGATCTCGGGCTGGCAAGATTTCCTCCAGGCTCCACTGGACAGCTTGTTCTTCAGGGAGTTCAGGTACCTCCTGCTGACTGTCCTGGGCTCAGACCCCAGGCTCTCCCCAACGTGGGACTCCTTCCATGGTTCTGCAGACGGGGTAAGGCTGTACCCGGGGAGGTGACGTTCAGCCTCCAGTTTGGAGACTTTGATTGCTGCTCCTGGAGTCCTGAAATGAACAGAACAGATCTGAGAGTTTCCTGTCTGCAAAGTAGGAAGAAGACTAGCACTTCCCTGGTCAGGGATTTAGGAGTGATCAGTGCACATCACAGGTGTGAAGAGGCCCCTGAGTGCCTGGCACTCAGGAGGAGTTTGCTAAGTAAAACATCCACTTCCTTTCCAACATCTTCTTGGAGGGAACTCCAGTTTTCAAAATGAGTCAGCGTAGACTTGTTTTGTTTTCTGGGAAACTACATACTTCCCTGTTTAAAATGCCAGGAGGAACCCCTCTTTCTGCATATAGTGTTTTTTAGGTGGCCACAGGTCACCCTCACTTGTACACCTCATGTCTGTTTTAATGTTAAGTCTCTGCAGCAGGAAAGGCCCTAAAATCTTAGGAGAGAAGGAGGGAGCCATGGAACACTCTAAAGGGAGGGCAGGACTGCTAAAGCTGGGACTTTGCAATGGGAGCCGTGCCTTCCACACCTCTAGTGGGTGGGTGGAGGGTGGGGGGAAGCCAGTCTGGCAGCAATTCCCTGTTCCTCCCGGGATGGGCCTTTGAAGGGTATCTTTGAGTGCAGGGTCTACAGACCAGCTAAAGTATTTAGTAACCTTCACTGAGTTATAGCCCACGGTTTGGGTTGTGCTCATTCCCTTTAGTATGGAAAGGCTTGCGATGAGACAGCTAGTCTGGGCAATGGAGGACCAGACAGGTACAGAATCTCCAAAACTCTGAGACAGGTTTTCATTACCCCAGCTTTGCAGCTAAGGAAACTGAGGTACAGAGAGTAACTTGCAGCATAAGTAACTTGCAGCGAAGGGGTGGCAAAGGTGGAGTTCAGATCAGGCATCTGATCCCTAAACTGCCCCTCCCCTTCTGGGTCGAGAAGAAACAGGTCCAGCGGGTCAACATGTCTGCCCCAAGTCACTCAGCTAGCTGGTGGCAGAGAGGATTGGAACCCGGTCCCCAGTGGCTCCTCATGGGCTCCTCCACCCTTCTCTGGCACCTCAGTGCCTGGTTCCTCAACCCGCGGAAACAGCTGGGCCTCAGGCTTTCTGTTCTACATTTGGTTTCAGCTTTTGCATTTCCCTTGCATTTCAGCACTTGCATTTCCCTCCAAGTGCGCCAGGCCAGCTTCTGTTTCCTCTTCCCCCCTCAGTTTCAGATCAGCTAGGGGGCTGGAAGACCTCACAAGAAAGCCAAAGCCAAGGCTGCTGGCACAAGGCCTCTCACATGATAAGAGGTGACTCTCACCCTGCAGACAAGGCCTCCTCTGACCCCATTCTGGTCTGAGGGCTGCCTCCTCTTGCCTGGTGTGGCCTGGGCACCACACACCTGCTGAGGATCTCCACTGAGCATGCCTGGCATGTTGAGTGAGGTGGTGCTCTCTCCCCACACAGAAGGGAGCAGGGGGTGGGGGTGGGGGTCCAGGAAGGCGGTGCCTGGAGCTGTCCTTGGTGCTGAACAGAACGTGCTTGGCAAAGGACTCTGGGAGAGTCAGGGTAAGGTCCCTGGCTCAGGAAGCTGAATTGCTCTTCTAGGTCCACATCTATGCCACATCCACCTAGAAGGCCACAGAAGTCTTCATCTGCTCTGAGTGCCCTCAGCACTCAGAATCTAGGCTTCACTCAGGATATCTATTGTCTATGACTTGGCATCATAGTAATTTCATGAGCTTGGCATCCAAAGACGAAAATCATCCCAGCAGGGATCAGTCTTTCGGCTCCTGTGTCTGCTACAGTTTCTGTGTGATGCTGTGTTGTACCAACCACGCCCCCTGCAGGACTGAGGAGCTCTTCTCCCCAGTTGTTGGTGGTATGGTGGCCGACTGGGAATTGCCCTCCCTGGAAGACAACTGCCTCATCTCAGGTCAAGTCCACATCCAATGACTAGCCCATGTGGAGGTATAAAGACCCATCCCTTTGCCTCAGTTAGAACGACTTGAGGGACATCTCAGCTTCAGAGCAACTTGGGACAGCCTGAGGCCTCTATTTCAAGTGCACACAGTTCAACTTCTCCCTATGCTGTATCCCTCGCCCCAACAGGTGTTATTCCCAAAACTATCCCCAGAAGCAAATTTCTATCTTAGAGTCTATTTCCAGAGGGACCTACAACAGTCCCTCGCACAGTCCTGGGCTTAAGGAATGCCGGCAGAGTAGACTAATGTCACACACAGACACACTCACAGACACACACACCATCACCACCACCGCTGCCAGGGCCTCCAATGACCTCCACACATCTGGCCCAGTTTTTTTTTTTTTTTCCTTCAAATGGAAGCCCCTACCCGTGAACTTAAAGCTTTTTAAGCCCCCTTGCCTCTCTGTGCACCCATTGTCTCATCTATAAGATGGGAATAGAAACAGAACTACTCTCAGGAGGCTGTTAGATAATTAAATGAATTAAGTAACAAAAATCACATAGAAAAATGCCCCAAAGGTAGGCTGATGATACATCTTGGTTTGCCTGATACAGGCTCAGCTTTTCCTATTGCCCTCTCCCTTCTGCCAAAAAAATTGAATGGCATCCACTTTCAGTTTTAATTGTACCCTGAGTTGAATGATAAATTATATGGTTGTCCTACTTATAAGGAGTAAGTGCTTGATAAGTATTAGCTAGTATTTCCAATGGGTGGAGTCCTGCAGTCCAAACACTGTTTGGTCCGCCCACGCTCGCTCGCTCATAACTACACACATCTGGACTCTCCCCAACATATCAATATACGCACTCTTGGGGTGGCTCAGTTGGATAAGCATTCGACTCTTGGTTTCGGCTCAGATCATGATCTCACAGTTCGTGAGATCAAGCCCCAGGTCAGTCTTGGTGCTCACAGCACAGAGCCTGCTTGGGATTCTCTCTGTCTCTCTATTTCTGCCCCTACCCCATTTGCATGCACGTCTCTCTCTCTGTCTCAAAATAAGTAAATAAACATTAAAAAATATACACACACACTCTCACTTCTGCCCAGTTCCTGGTGCCCAATGACACTGCCTGATGCTGTGATAAACCCAGGCACTGCCCAGACAGGAGGAGGTGTCCAGGAAGGGCCCAGAGAGAGAACTGCTTGCTGTGAGGCCCCAGGGCAGTCCTGGCCCTGATCCTCAGCCTGAAGACTGGCAGAACATGTGCTCCAGGGCCTGGCAGTGGGCAGAGGGGGGCCCAGGGTGGGCAGAGGAGCTAAAGGGAGGCCACCAGTCCGCCCTGGTGACCCTTCCCACCCCCCTCCACCCCATACCTGCTGTTCTCAAACACAGTCACCAGACTGGACACAGATGCCAGCTTCTCCTTACTCTCTTGCTCCATTCTGCAGACCTCCAGGGTGGTCCTCAACTACCCCTGAAGCAGAGAAGGTGGCCTCCAACGGCACCCTCAGCCACCCCCACCCGGGGTCACAGATGGGCTAAGGCATCCCGGAATGTGCTCCAGAGGGCTCAGGAGGCCTGCTCCCAGCTTCAGAGTAAGAAGGAGGAAGTGGTCCCAGAGCCACAGCCCCAAAGGGGAAAGGCCCTTGCTTCCTCTAGAGGGAGGAGCCCACTCAGGCCCCGCCCACCCACCCAGGGT